GTTTTTTGTGTTCATTTTGTACCAAGATGGTCCGTGCGTACATCCGATTTTTCTGTCGACATTCTGCCTCATATGAGGCAAACACCCTGCCTCATATGAGGCAAACGCGCGGTAGAATAGACACTAGGTTAAACTATCTAACGTACGAATGACGGACACTCTCTCGTCCAATTAACGTATCTGTACACGAATTTTTGTCGAAGCCGCGCCATATTGAAATTTGCTTTTGCGCGCCTGTCACGACAAAATGATCACACTACAATAATCCAAACCAACATAAATCCAGAAAAACCATGAACGAAACCACGAGGAAAAAGAAGAATTCAATTGGAGCACCTGCGGGCTCCCTTGAACGGAGGCTAGCGGTAGAAAGCGATATCGTTGATGAGCTCCTGCTTGTCTGTGGTGTCATTGGTACAACGCGAAACGAGGGCAATGAGCTAGTTCCTGTCACTGACTGTCTTAACTGGCTGCAAGATCTTCAGCGTGCATTGAGGCGTGATGAAGACCTTTACCGCCCAATTTCTCTCCTCATTGGAAATTGGAAAGTCGTAGAACAGAAATTGCTGCCTCTGGTCATATCTTGCCGGTTTGATACTGCTATCGTGTTAACGGTTGTCAAGATATTGGTGATATTGACGAAACCGTTGGCGGAGAACACGAAACGAGCAGGACGGATGCTCATCGACACCTCTAGCAAATCAAATGATTCCCTTGTTCAGCAACAAATCAAGCTCCGGGAAAATGCAGTGGAACAGGCCGAGCTTTTGATTGAATACAAGCGTCTATTTTCTCATCACTCCTCCCACCATGTAAAGGGGAAGGAAGGAACAGGGCTCTTGTCCATATTTGTGTCATTGCTTGCCGAACCACTTTCTAAAACCGGATCAGCTCGCACTGACGCGGATCACTTAACTATCGAGCTTGTATTGCACCTATTTCGGAACCTACTTGCAGCAGAGCCACTGTTGAACAGTAAGTTGTCGCTTACATGTGTCCTTATTTACCTAAAGCTCGTGTAACTCCTTACGCTTTTTTTCGACTGGAGATAGGCTCACAAGATTCTATTCGCAGAAGCAGGCAACTGCATCACGAGCTCGTCAATCTCTTCGAGAAAGAGCTTGTCACGGACATTTTACTTGTTCTAGGTCAAGAACTTGAGCTACGTGAAAACTCGCAGTATAATTTGCTCATGATGGAGCTCTTACACAATCTTCTCAAAGCGCAAGATCCCGCTGCGGTAGCACTAGCTCAGACCCGTCTATCTTTGAGCGAGAATACAAGATATAGGAGTAGCAGTGCACTGTCAACAAAGCTACGAGAAGAAAAATCCTCTCGGTTTGCATTGGTGGGAACTAGACATGGACACTTTGGGGGAACTTGGCTCGAGAAGCAAGGCGATGGAAAACGGAAGTATGTTAGTACCAATCAGTCTTCAAAGCAAAAAAAATCCAATACTTCAAGACGAAACCGCAAAGCGGAGCCATTCATTGGTTCCAGCAAGTCATTCTTGGAACACTCAAACACCCGATTTTCCGAAGAAGGCCCCACTGCCAATAGAGCGAAAGAGACGCTGAACAAATTCTGCCAGCGTTTTGTCGAAAACTGCTATGGTCCATTCATGAAATCGCTGAAGAACGAATTTCGACGGGACTCGGTGCGTCTGGAGGATGGAGACAAGGTAATCTTCTTCAGACTCATCTGGTTCTTTAGTCAGTGGTGGAGATATTCTGAAAACAATAGTCTTGGCCAACTCATATTCACAATGGATGTATTCACATTCAACTTGGTTTTGAGTTCGACTGACGCATTCCATCTACACAAAATGTTCTCCAGACTGGAACAGGCTGTTTCACTCTACAGTGAAATGATGCTATTGTTGAAAGACATGCAACATTCCCAAGACGCAACTGAAAACGAAATTGCGCTAGGTCTCGTGAACCGAATTTTCTACGTTGCTGAGCCGATGGATCGGCTACCGAAGTTACTGCAAAGCTGGACACCAGGACGAAACACCCGTCAATACGTTTGCGATCTGTGCACCCTCTGCCATGTCTCTTTGGAACTCCTTGAAGAGAATTCGAAATTTGATACGATGTTTGGTTCCGAAACTCCGCGAAACAATCTTGAAAAAATGAGAGTCGTGGCAGCTGAATTTGATATCACTTCCTACTTTTGCAAAAAGCTATTTTCGAACCAATTGGTGAGCATGTACACACATTTGTTGTCTCAGTACAAATTAAACTCTTCGCGAATAAATGACCGCGTAGTGGCTATGTTTCTTCGGCTCTCAAGTACCGAAATGGTATCTTCGATGGATTCAGATACCCAAAGTCCAATTAGTGAACTGTACCGCCCGCACACGTTAGAGCCAATGCTCTACAACATTCATCTATTTCTTGTGATTGAAAAAATACTACTCGACAGCTCTATTCGCAATACTGGCGGCTTTGGGTCGCTCGTCAGCTTCTGCACACGGCATATGGAGAAGTTTCTTGCAACGTCGCAAGACAATCACATGGCATTCGTGGAATGTTTATTCAGGCATTTGTCACCAAGAAAATTTTGTGAATCGTTCGCGAAGTTCTACATGAGTGAAGAGTTTCAAATGCTTGCTGAGAGAGAAGTACTTCTCGATGAACAAGAGCGTTGCAACGAGTTGCAAGGAGGGGTCGACAGCGACATACAAAGTGAAGACGAGGCTGAATTTATGTTTGACGAGGGCCGACAAGCTATGAACAATTCGGATGACGAGCCAGTCACCGAAGAATCTTCAGAGGAACCGGTTGCAAAAGGCAAAAAGAGACTACGAGAAAATGACTCCCTCAATGCGTTTCGCACCGTGAAAAGCCACAAGAAAAGGCAATGAAAGGATATTATTTGTAGAAATTGCGGAGACCTTGCCCAGTTGAAAATGCAAGTAAGTTTAGCTACCAGGTTGTTTAGCTTCTTTCAAGCATCTACAGCGTTTGTTCATTTTTTAACAATTAGAATGATGACTGTGACATTATCTGACGAACCTAAATGAATAGCCAACTCCGCAAGTCGAGCAGCCTGCAAAAATATGTTGAGAGCAGCCCAATCAACAACGTGAAGAAGTGGTTACAATTATTCACTTACAGCTTGCTTCGCGTCGATTTTCTTACGAACAAGGAGTTCCCTTGTCACCCTTATAGCGTCATCAGCATCAAGCACATCCCATAAGCCATCACTTGCCAAAAGTAAGAATTCATTGTTCACGCCTTCTTCACCAACCTCAATACGCTGAAAGTCTGGTACACAGCTTACTAAGTCTCCTTTGAAACGACCATTGTGGTCATCTGGATACTTGAGATACAACGGACCTTCCCAGCACTGACTTGATGGATCATCTTTGTGCGGATTCGTGCGAGGGGGGTTATATTCTGCCTTAAAGTCCCTATCACCAATCGATCTACTGACTGAAAGGTCCCCACAGACTCTAAAGATTTCAAGGATTCGTTGTGGTGCTGCCTTGCTCTGCTTGCCTACCCCCGAAGAAAGGTTTTCCTCGGCTTCGCTGAAACCTCGCTTCAATATATTGACCACATCTTCATCTCGAAAGTCGATTCTACGAAGTTGCCCAATTGGAATTTCTGTTTCGGTAGTGACCCAGCCATTGGCTTCTTCGATTCGCTCCCGCTCAGTCTCCACTGATGGGCTGTGAACGTTTGTTATCCCTCTCCAAAAAAAACGAGTCGTGTCTATACGCAAACCATCTCCCATACCATTGTTGCTGCTTGGAAAATCAACGTCATGCCAAGCGTCATCGGTAAGGTAAGATTCGGCATCTACAACACCACGGCAGATGACTCCACGGCAATCTCCCAAGTTCGCAACAACCAAGCTCTTGTCCACCAAAATCGCAACAAGAGCTGTTGCCCCTGATTCCCATTCTCTGCCTCCCTCGTGACACAAGGAACAAAATTCTCGATCCAGCCTTGCCATAGCATTTCGAGCAGTGAGTTCTAGCCTTGGCGAATCAAGCGATGGAACTGTCATAGCTTGTTTCTGGTAGCTATTTTCAATCTCTTCCAGAATAAAACCTCCAAGCTTTTCAGCTGCAAAACGAGCGGCTTGATCTCCCTGGTGCCCATCAAAAATTGCAAATAATCCAACTTTTTCATGGCTGCCTAAATTTGTTTTTGCACGGTTTGTTTCTGACGTCTGCTCATAATTCTGATCATGAAGAAGATCATTTGATATTAGATATGCATCTTCGTTCGAATCTCGAATTCCACATTCTGAAACAGCTCCAGTTTCCCAGCAAATAGGTGCAGTGCTTCGAGATGTTTCGTAAATGCCTTCGCCACCAAAACATCCAAAAGGCGTTCCCGCATTTGGACCAAGTCTTGATGCTTTCCTAGGGATGTATCGAGAGTCGACAATCGACACTGGCACCAACTGTGGGTCAGCACATCCACCTTTATGATATATTGCAGGTTCAGGAGTTTCAGTACTCTTGGGTCCGTTTTTAAGTGAGGATGCGGTACCGCCATGCACTTTCTCGCGTAATGCACCAGTGTGCTTACTATCCTTTGCTTCCTTCTCTGCAGGAAAATCAGTTACATCACTCTCGTCTGTATGGTAAGTCAATCCGTTGGTGTCGGCCAAATTTTGGCTTGCTTGCATTTTGCGCCTCAAATGAGGAGGTATATACGCCCTTGCCTTTGACGACTTGCCATCCCCATTGCTAGTACTATTGGTCTTTTGATCTTGTTTGGATGTCAAACCAGTTCTTGGAATAGATGCAATGCTATCAGAAGCAGCTTCGTTATCAAGCGACATGGACTTCGTCGTGAGCTGACGACTACGTTGAAGACCGATTCGCCCGTGGCCATGTGATAGCGAACCTTTCTTCTCTACTTCCTCTGATAATATCGGTGATGGTGCAAAGCACCTTTGTACATCCTTGTCCGATCGATGAAATGGGATGAAAGACGCTGCCTGATGAGATGTAATAGGATATGCGATATCCATATATATTTCAGATTTCATAAAGCTCCTCATGAACCAACTAAGAGATCGATGGAACTGAAAGATCCATTCCTTCATGTCATCTTCATTCCTAGCACATAGTACCAGCGTATCCGTCTTTTCGACATTCTGATCTCCACTAATTGCTTCAAGCTGGAACGCATTTGCTCCGAACTCCTGTTCTGCAGACCGCACAGATCCCACTGAATTTAGGAAGACTCGCTTCTCCCAGGTGAAGCTGTTTGCTTCTTCAGTCGAAGCTGAACCCGATTGTCCATGCATTCCTTTGGATACAGGTGACTTTGACAAGTCCTTGGGGCTGTACAGCCTAATGCCATTTTGCTCTGGTTGCGCTTGCACATTCTGCCTCTCTTCAATAGCGATCGCAGAATTCGCGTCCTGGGAATTCCGATAAAAGTAAAGTACACCTTCCTCTAGAAGACAGAATCTTGACCTCCATATGTGCCCGTCAGCGTCCACAAAGTCCTCTGCTGGAGAGTTGGCTGCATCTACAAAATTTGTGTATTCACCTTCTTGGTCACTGTCGTGAGTTGTTGAGTTTGTTTCGACCCTATTATTTCCATACAAGGATCTTCCTACTTTTATTGGAGAGCTTGCTTTGATTGGACTTCTTTGTTCGATTACTGTTGATCCCAAACTACTTGATTCTTCTGCTTGATCAATGCTGTGCTGTGCTGTTGAGTCCAAGGGCATCCCGAAAAAAGCAGCAATTGATTGAAATCCTACCTCGACCGGATTCTTTATCGCATCTTGTTCACACGATGATTCGCCAACCGTGGATTCGAGGGAGGTTGTTGGTTGGTTCTCTTCGATTTGCGACTTCGTGGGACTGTTTTCGGCAGACCCACGGTCTTGAGACGGGAAAGCCCCAGGCATGTTTGGGAGATCTGGAACAGCCGAGGCATTTGAAAATGGGGAACTGTCTTGATTTGAAGTTTGACGCTGGAAAGGTTCGTTAGATCTTTTCAATAAGTATCCACAGCATGTTATTGCGGATAGATGACTGTCGCTTGTGAAGTCAACTCTTGACTTCGGAAGTGACAGGGATGATGCTCCGTTGAACGACTGCGAAAGGAATCTCTCATCTTTTGAATATTCTGGAGATCGCGATTTCATGGGCATTTAATATATATATTGAACAGATCTCTGCCGGTATGAAAAGGTTTTGTTGTTTGGTGTCTGATCCGCGTGATACGATCCGATGACCAACAAAACGACCAAAACGACTCGAACATCACCTCGATTTTCAAATTTTTATTTGTTGTTTGATGGATACGGCCTAGGTTTAGTACCTACAGTAAGTACTGTATTGTAGTTTCTTTCACCCTGTACTCTTGTTTCACCAAGGCCGTCATCACAAACACCACTATGCTACTGTACATATGGAGGATAGCCAGCTGGCGCCTTCCGTTCAGGTTCTTCTGATTGGTGTTATTGAACTCTACATCTTTCTGTCACTATACTTGCACACAAGTTCGATGTGGTGGTTGCCTTTCTCCTCCTCTTTTCTTCTCTCTTCTTTTTCGACTGTCGTACTGGTACCGGGAGATGAGTTAAAATCGCAAATCCCCTTGAATTTTGATTCCCCCTTCAGGGTCCCGAAAAACTCGAACGAGTCTTCGCTGTTTATCATGACCCGAGATGAGTCAAAACTGCAAATCCCCTGGAATTTTGATTCCCTCTTCAGGGTCCCAAAAATTTCCAACAAATCTTCAGTGTTTATCACCCGCTCAGCAATTGGTTCCTCTCTTCCCGCTCGATTGGCAGACGAACGCTGACAACCAGTGAAGATTTCGGGACCACATGGAGATCATTCCCAAATTGAACGGCATGCGTGAGATCCAACGGATTTGGTACTGGATCTACTGACGCTATGGCAGAATCTTCTCGCAAACTTGGAGAAAAAAGGGACAAAACATCATTGTCTTTTTTCTCTGAGTGGTGCTCAAGTAAACTACAGCAAAGACACGAGGACAAGTGCACTGATTATCGGTGTCAGAATAATAATAATAACTGAGACATTAATCGTTAATATGCTACTCTATGGGCATTC